TTCCCTACAGACAAAAGCAGCACTCCAAGATCTAATAGAAAAACATCAGAAAATACCAGGAAATATATTTAGGGCTTTAATGGAACGATTTCAAACACAAAAGAAAGATGATTAAGGTTTTCTGCATAAACTACTATTTAGTTACAATATTCTTAAAGTCATATTTGTAACTTATTCATTCTTCTAATAATAGATTTTAAATACTGTCCTAATGATACTGCAGTTTAATTTAAGATGTAAGACACTTTCCTTTGCCCTTTCCCCTGCCCAGTGTCAAGCTCAGGAACCCAACCTTCAAATCATCTGCAATGGGGCGAAGCTTACGTTTTGATAAATGCATTCCTAACTTGAAAGTGACTTTTTCAAAAATCACACTGCAAGTCTTTATGTACATGGTCTTTTGTCTTTCTTTCCTGTTCCAACTCCTATGGTTGAAGTATTAACCTGAATATTAGACCTGCTGTAGAGCTAGAACCTTACTGTCTTGATCATCATCACCGCAACTGGGCTTTTTGGGCCAGATGAATGCCATACAGCGTTTATCAAAACTTTGTTTAGGTTGTTACTCTCAAGCTGCCATTCTCCAGTGGCCTGGAGAACCTCTAGCTATGCCTGCAAAACCCACAACGGAAAGCATTTAGTTTTTTGAGGTGAGCTTGGAAAGAGCATGGAGGAGTGAGAATTGATTAGAGAACTGCAGTGAACCAAGGAAGTTTGTTACAGAAACTGCTCTGATGCTGTGAATGAGAACCCAACAGCACAGCTGCTATTCCCAGCTGAGCCAGATTGGATATCTGCCCTGGAGTAGAGAGTTGTCGCATTTGATTCCTGGTGAATCTGCAGATTTTCCTTTGAAAGAGTGAGATGAGCGTTTAAGAGGTGGAAAATGAGAGTATTGTTTAGTAACGTGAGCTCATAAAGCTTTGTTTTGAGGAAAGAAAAAATTAGTACAAAAATCCTTTTAAAAGTAGTAGCTCTTTTGAAAAACAGCCACTACCAAATACCCTTTAAATCAAGTATATATGTGTAAACTGTTAAACATCCATATTCTTCAAACACAGTTGTCTTACTTAAGTTATTAAATCAGAGTTGAGAGGGAAATCCTTTATACTTTCCTTAAGTAAAAACAATTGAATGAACTGGAAGGACTTGCAGGATTAGGCTTTTGTGCACATAGAGTAGATTATATTATATTTCTTCTGAACTAAAGCCTGTGCGTTTATTGTCCAAATAGGAAATATCTGAAATATTTCTTCTGATTGCCAGCAGGTTTAATGTACAGTTCTTAAATTAGCATCTGGGAACTCTTCAGTTTTGAGATGAGGACAAATTCCTTAAGGAAAGATAAAAGAGGTTTATGCTATATTATGCAGTCTCTTTTCCATATTATTGGAGTTTGACCTTTTCTTAAAAAACAAACACAATAAGAAAAAAACACACCAAAACCCCCAACTTTTGAAAGAGCAGTTGTATTCAATTTAGTATCCCTTCCACCATTTAAGCACACGCTTTGCTTTATACTTCTAAATGTTTAAATTAGTGAGGTTATATATGTGAATTATGCTCTGTGTTTGGAAAATGCCACTTTACAGGAAAAAGTCTATAAATTAGAGTTTGCAAAAAGCTTATTTTATGGTATTATTTTATATCAAAAACATCTTCTCTAGTGTTGAATTAAATTTTTTAAAGCTTGAGGAAGAATCATGTTCTATAAAAGCAAATGCCTATTCTCAAGTTTTTAAAATTGCTTGGCTTTTATTGAAAACAAGATTCTGTTATTTTTTATTTATCAGAATGTTTTTTAAAAGTATGTTAACACAGCGTGGCATTAGAAGTTATAATGCCAAATTCCTACACTGGAGTATAACTTAAGTATGACTATTTTCACTGTCCATCTTGAGGAAAATGTACATCAGTCTATATTGTGGAATTCACAAAGGCAGCTGAACATATTTCATGTTGAGATTGTGTACCTGTAAAAGAAAACTCAGTCTAAAAGGTTCTGTTTAGACGTGAACAGATGTGATCTGAGATTTTATAAAATTTATTTTACTAAATATGTGGGCTGTTTGATGAAATTTTGTCCCGTTAAGTATTGAAAGATGAATATAAAAAATGAAGGGCAGTATTGGTACTCTTTAAGTGTTCATATTTGTATAGGCCTTTCATATTTATTTCTATATATTAAAAAAATGTATAGAAGACACCTTTTGAATAAAATTGACAACTGGAACAGGCTTCTGAAGTTTTGTGCTGTGTTTGAACTAAATGAAACTATATGTGGCCTCCTGTGCTGAACCATCACTGATTTTAAACAACATGTAATACCCTTGAGAAGCTCTTGTCACCTGATGTCTGAGTAGAGGTGGAAGAATCAAAGCTTCAGAAAGGACAAGTTAAAGGAAAAATAATTCGAACAACAATGGAATAAAGGACAAAAGTCACATAAACACTAAGGTCCGTGTTTTAATGGGTGTAATTAGTGCTGTAGGAGGCCTTAGCAGAAACTGCAATATCACTTTAATTACATTTAAGATTCTGCAAAAGAAAATAGAGCCAAAATACTGACTAGTAGAGTTTATTTGTACGTATTTAGCGTGTGAATGGTTACCTACTTTATTTCATTGAAAATGGGAACTGACCTAGAGAGATGCTCATACAAGTAAGGTTATAGACCATGCTTCATTTTAGCTGATGTGGTTTTGTTGTGCGTCAGCAGAAGTATTTAAAGGACATTTTAGCAGCATTAGACTGGATCACTGATTGCCCAGGTAGCCTTTGGATACACTGAAGATACTCCATTTTTTCTCCATGCGACCAGCATAACCAGGATACACATTTTCAGGTTGTTGGGAAGTAGAAATAGGCTGAATGCTGTACTGACAGGTATTTGTTGTTATCTCTCAGCAAGACCCAAATCTCCTGCTGGCCAATTTGCTGCCCTGTTGGATAATAGCAGAGCTCAGTCTGAGCATCTGTTATTAGGATGCTTTCATATGAAATTAATCACTGCAGATGCAAGGTAGAGCAGTTAATCAGCATTGTCAACACGATTGTGTGGTTCAGCCAGTATTTGATTTCCTGTACAAGTGTACCATTATGTTGCTTCATCCTGTTACTCTTAGAGAAAGATACAGCTATGGTGACACTTAATGTGTTAGCTCTACAGTGCTTAATCCCTATTAAACCCATCATAGATGCTAGACTGATTTCTTTGTGTTATTTTTGCACGTAAAAATTACAGTCCCAAAAGGGAACTTGGAGGTGCATGGAATTGCTACATGAATGTAGCACAAAAAAATAGGTGTTAAGTAAGATAATCCTCTAAAATATGTCTGCTGAAATTTCATGAGACAATCTGGTGTCACTTAATTACTTCTATTCACGTCTATGAAAACTCTTGCCAGCAGCAAAGATAGTGTGTTTGTACAATATAGATCAATGATGCTAATGCCTTTTTGTATATATTTTTAAAATTCAGAACTAGCCAAAATCAATGGTAGTCTCCACATGTTATTTTCCTCATCATGAGTTTTTTAAAGTATTTGCTTGTCTGCTTTTTTTGAGTAATTTGTTTTACACAGAAGGTTGCAATTTTACCACTACTACCTTGAATTTTGTCACAGCGTACACTGAGTGCACACCGTATGTTGCTTCCTGAAACATTTTTATAATGGTATCTTCATGTCAGAAAATTGGTCACAAAAGTGCGATAAACTTTTGAACTGTAGGGAGAATGTTTTTCCAACCAAAAGTGTTTGCTCACCCTTCTCGCTTTTTTGTGTGTCTGAAACATCACAGGAAGGCAAGATGCCATTTGGAATTAACACCAAGCTGCAAATATAAGGCAGGTCCAATATTTTTTTTCCATACTATGGAGCTGAGTCGGCTGCCATAGAGCAAATCCTATTCCACGAGGCCTTGTGTTGCATCCATCCCATGAGAGCAAGCCCACCGCTCCCTGCTGTGCACACAAGTTACTGTAAGGAGAGAACACAGCATGATTCCTCAGCCCACCTTTGGCTCCTGTGTTCTAGATAAAACCACTGAATGCTCTGAAAACAAGAGATGCCGAAGTTCTTAAAAAATGCAGAGGGGAGTATTGTGTTAATCAGAGAATATATTAAAAGTTAAAAAAAATTAAAAGGCAAGAAATGGAACCATTTTTACCTGATTCCTTTTAATAGGAAACAGAATGTGCGAAACATCGGGGAGGGTAGGCATTTACAATTCTGTATCATCTTTTTAGGGAATTTGTGGCAGATGAATTGGGATGGGTCATGTTGAAGATGTGGCCAATTTTCCTATATTCCAGACCAGAGTTCACTTTTCCTTCCAATAGTATTTTCTAATGGTCAGGTCTATGGTTTGCTCAGAGCAGCTCCAGTCTTCCTTCAGTTGCCTCTTAAGTGGGAACAGAAACGGAGACTCCAATGAACATTTGTTGGCTCTCTTTTTGATCTACTCGTAGTCTACCAAAGGTACCTAGAAACATTTCAACTTCTGTGGTGGAGCTGCCAGCTCTCCGGACACCTCTTTAATAATTGGATTTGCCCTTACCATATAAAAACTGCTCTCCACCAAAGCTTTTCAAGTGTCCTGTTCATTCAGAAATGGATTAATTTTCTTTTGCCCATCACGCAGTGGATTAATTTTCTTAACTAGTGGACACAGCAGTTGCAGGCTTGCTTGGTTAATGTTTTTTTACCATGGATTTCTACATTCAAGATACATTTTGGTATCTTGATCCTGCTTTGTGAGAACAAGCTTGAGGGAAACGGCTGACTGCAACTTGGCTCAGTCCCTGAAGGCATTAATGAAAATATAAAACAAGGCCCACAACTGAAACAAGTGCACCCAAACCTCAAACTAGTTTTGGAATCCTATTTCTGGATGATCTTGAGTCACGTTTATAGAACGGAAAGCCAAAACTTCCTGGCTCTTTTTTCTCCTTGCAAAACTTGGCACCGGTACAGAAGCATAGCAGCTGTGCTGGTGTTTCCAAGACCAAAGTTGTCTGAGTTGAGCAGCGCTCGGGAGGAGCAGCCTCTGGAGAAGGCTTCAGCAGCCCTCAGGGCCTGTCTGGGGCAAAGTATGGTAGACTAGTGTGGGAATCCTGCTGGACATACAGTGGAAAAATACAACCAATTTTTAGTAAAAGGAACTGTTCTGATGTGTGGAGACCTTGCTGAACACCTGGAAGATAAAACCAGACTAGACTTGGGTAAAAACAAGCTGTTCTGAGCAAGCCACACAGGATAACAGTTGATGAATGCATTAAAAAGATCAGACTGGGAAACTGTGTGGAGGCGTATGTGAACGGACGCGACTAAGATAGTTGCAAGGACGATGTTTCAAA